CACAGGGTTGAGGCTAGCCTCAACTACATTATGAGACCCTGCATCAAAAAGAAGGCAGAAGGAAGGGTAAGCCATAGGACGGAAGAAAACATGTGCAAACCATGTTTCTCATAGGGGATGAGGCCTCAGAATACAAAAGGAACTCTTACACCTCAGCAATAAAAAGACAAATAGCTCAGTTCCAAACTAGCAAAACTGTGGCCCTCACATTTCCGCAAAGGAGAAACAGAGACAGTCGATAATTACATTAACAGGAGTTCTTTATCAGGAACCACCCAGGTAATACAAACCAGGAGCACAATGAGTTAGCACTCCACATCCGCTAGAATGGCTGTAACTATAATACTTAAAAAAAGAGCAGAAAACAAATGTTGCTGAGGCTATGGAAAAATTGGAACCCATTGATGAGGGGCATCTAAGATGGCAGAGCTGCTTTGGGAAGCACAGTGGCCATGCTTCAGAAAGTTGAAATGTAAGGTACTGTGTGGCCCAGTAATTCTACTCTTTGGTATACCCAAGTGAATGAAAACATACGTCCACAAAAACCCATGTATGTAAATGTCCACTGCTGCACTGTGGAATAGCCCAGCACAAAAACAACACAAATATCCATCCAAAACTGAATAAACGATGTAATACATTCTTATGCTGGCATTTTATTCAGCCATAGAAAAGAATGAAGTCTTGATATATGACAGAAAGTGGTCGGACTGGACAAAGACCTTCTGAGGCCAAGAAAAAATCCACAAAGTCAGTATGTTATATAATTCCTTTTATATGAAATGTCCTGAATACACAAATGAAGAGTCAGTTACCAGACTGAAAGTAGCCACGGGCAATAGAACAACAACAGGAAGTGACGTTAGTAGGCATTGTTTTATGGGGACTGATGAAACCGTAAAAAGTTAAATCACTGCACCGGTCACCCAGCTCAATCACAAAGCCTGCATGAGGAAAAAATATCCTGGACTTTTATTGTTGTTACCGTAACTTGTAGTTGAAACTCAAACCCAAATAAACTAATGAAGTGTTGGTTAAGTTCAAGTTTTTCATGAAGAGAAGCATGCTATATTCTCATTGCTGTGAAGAGTAAGTTCTTCAGTCTCTGACTTGCCGGGGAATCACGAGAAGAGCGAGTCTCGGAGTTGAAAGCACTCCCGATTCCACCTTCCACATCAGTTAGAAGGCGTAGGCACTGCAAACACACAAACTCAAGTTTCTCAGGAGCAGGAGACTCACATTCGGAGTCCACCAGACGGAAGACACAATGGCGGTTTCTGGTTGGACGAGGCAGGACAGCCGAGCACTCAACCTGACCTTGACTCCTAAGGCGGCTGGGTCCCACTTCACCTCCCCGCCCCCGACTCCCCCACGAGTTCTGCAGCTCTAGAACTTCAGCTTTGCTTCCTGGCTAACCTGGGCATGGCAGAAAGGGCACACCAGAGTCTGCAACTTCACCGTGATGCCCAGTGTCCCAGTGAGGCTTTCTGTTGCTGCAGTGAAACACCGTGACCAAAAAGCTATCTGAGGAGGAAGGGTTTTATCTGGCTCACACTTCCACCCTGTAGTCCATCATCGAAGGAAGTCAGGGCAGGAACCCAAACAGCAGAAACCTGGAGGCAGGAGCGAATGCAGAGGCCATAGCGGAGTGCTGCTCACTGGCTTGCTCAGCCTGCTTTCTTCTAGAACCCAGGACCACCAGCCCAGGAATGGCACCACCCACCGTGGGCTGGGCCCTCCCCCACCAATCACTAATTAAGAAAATGCTCCACAGGCTTGCTCACAGCCCAATTTTTTTAATGTATTTTTTTAGGTATAAGTGCTCTGTCTGCACATAGGCCTGAATGCCAGAAGAAGGCATCAGATCCCATTACAGATGGCTGTGAACCACTATGTGGCTGCCTGGAACTGAACTCAGGTCCTCTGGAAGAACAGTCAGTGCTCTTAACCACTGAGTTATCTCTCCAGCCCTACAGCCCACTGATGGAAGCATTTTCTTAATTGAGGTGCCCTCCTCTTAGATGACTTTAGCTTGTGTCGAGTTGACATAAAACTATCCAGCACACCCAGTTATATCCAAAGTCAAAGCCTGGTGGCATGGACCTCCTCTCAGGCTGGCAATGGCTGCACTTGTGCCCAGGACCCCAGCACAAGATTCTATAATAGCCCATCTTAACGTTCAGCACACCTGATTTCAGGCACCCCGCCTCAAACCACAGAAGCTAACCCGACATTGTTCTCTAGCTTTCCTACCATACTTTAACCTCCTGTACAGTTCTGGGCTCTTCCCGTGCATCTTCATCTATTGGAAATGTCTCTTTGTGCCTATGATCAGTACTCAGGGAACTGAAGCAGAGACCTCATGACCTCTTTACATTATGTTTCCATGACAACCTACGGGAAATGCCACAAGGTCCAGTTCCACAACCGGTAGATCAATTTCTGGGGCATTAGCAAAGGGCTGAGTCTTCAACACTGACCTTGGGGCAAATGCCACAGGCTCTAGGCTCTAAAGAACTGGGACTCTGTTCTGGGATTGCTAGAGGCGGTTGACCCCACCCCACCCCTTCCACTGGGGACACTGGGGCTCCTCCCAGCTACAGAGAGCTCCTAAAGGAGCAGTGTGCTGCACTGACTCATGTTGGCTGTGGGCCGAGGGGAGGGCCTGGTGAGAAAGGACAGATGGGCCCTTTCCCTCCGGACCATGCCTCACACAGGAGCAGTGAGCAGTGCAGGCTGGACCAGGCCGTGACAAACACTGTGAGCCACTCGAGAACCAAGAGAGAGGACGAAACGCAATATAAAAGGTAACCGCTTATGTCACACATTTCTACTCCTAACTGAAGTGGAATTTCACAACATAAAGGCAGCCCAAAGCGAGCAATTCAATGCAACGTACGTTCACAATATCTAACCACCGTTTTTCCTACAACATTTTCATTACCCAAAACTTATAACCATTCACCAATGACACCTAATGTTATCCCCCCCAAGCCACCTTCTCCCACCGCCAGCAAACCCTGTGCTCTCCGTATGAGGGCACTTGCCTCACAGTCCACAGAAATGGAGTTAGACAATTTCCATCGCATGTCTGCTGTCCCACCGCACTATGGGGCAATTCCCCCACTGTGTAGCATAACCCGGTAGTGCCAGGTTCAAAAGAAAACTCAGGACAAACGGCTAACTGCAGTGTGTGCCTATTGGCATACCTAAGTGTCTCCTGGCCTCCAGTCTCACTCAGTACCTGTGGCTCCTCTCGGCTCTCCTCACCCGCCTCCACCCTAAACTTCTCCAGCTCACGGGCTTCCTTTCCCCCAGCTTCTCATTCTTACCTAGCCTGCCCTCTTAGCTCCTGGTCTTGGCTCCCTCTCTTGCTCTCTCCATCTCTCCCTCCTCTATGGCCTGGTTCTCAGCTGGCCATGTTTGGTCTACTACTTTCTCTCCCTGCTCTGGACTCTTCCAGGTGCCTCTGGCTGTACCCTACTCATATTTACAATAAACACTTTCTCCTCAACCATACCTTGGAGCGGTCCCCATTATGAATGAACATTCAAGTAATACGTCGCTCCTTGTTATTGCCTACCAGCCACTCGATGTGTGTACCACGGCTGGCGTACCAATTCATCCACTGAAGAACAACTGAGTTGGCTCCACCTTTTGGCAAATGTGAAAAGTGCTTGCAAATATTTGCGCACAAATATTTGGGCATCTGCTTTCATTTGATTTGGGTACATATCCGGGAGTAGTTTGCTTGTGTGTAATTCTATTTAACTGTCTGTGGGTCACTAAGCTGTTTTCAATGTCTCAGCCATTTTACTTCCCCACCAGCAATGTTTTAAGCATTGCGCTTGATTCTTCAAATAAACAGATCCCTTGCCTCCTTCCAGGAAAGCCACCCGCCACACACATACACACACACACACACACACACACACACACACACACACACACACACCTGGGATACAGTGTCAGAGAAGCTGCACCTCAAGTAACAGGACGGCCAACAGCCAAAGCCTCCTGCCTTGCCTTCTCCAGAACAGGAATCGTGTTCAGGAGCAGGGAGGGCAGGCTGCAAGTGACCTGCTTGGAGTCACTAACGGGCACGGACCTCAGGCATTCCAGCAACCCCGGCAAACACTGCCGTCCTACGGACCTTCAGCACTCGGTGCGGACTGAAAACCCCGAGACATCCTCAGAGCATCCTGAGGGAGGAAGGCTGCGGCTGCATGCCAGGCCTCGGCCTGCTCTACCACACCCGGTGCTCACACTCCCACCTGGCCATCGGCCAGCCCGCACCTAGCCCAGCCCGGGGAGCGGCCCCGAACCGCCGCCCATCACTCACAGCCCCGGGGTCACGGGCGTCCACTCGG